CGCCGTTTAGCACAGAGCTTGTTTCAGTCAGTGTCACGGAAGGACCCCGCGCCTATGCATCCACTGCTTATTGGATTTTGTTTTGAGGAATGGGAACAGCGATGCGCGGCCGCAGAGCAGCGGTAAATGCCTCAGACAGAATGGAGATGGTGAAGCGATTGTCAAAGTGCTGCGTCCCATCATCTTCTTGACTGTTATGTTGCCTTGCTTCTTTCTGCCGCTGTGGGTAGCCAGCCTAGGCTCCTCCGATCAGAATGTCTACTGACCCTCATACCGACAGATGTGTCGTTCTTTAGCTCCTCCTGCGTGGACTCCACGGTTCTCTGCTCCGAGCCGTAGCCTCAGGCTGCAGGTGCTGCAGCAGCAGCTGACAGAAAGCTCCAAAAGGCCCGCTGCTGGCAAGTCATAGCTTTGCGCCCGACCATGTTCCTGGTCTTTGTGAGAGCGGACAACTAGGATGTCCTGCATGCTGCCGCTCGGATCAGGTATGGGGCCGAAATATCTTCGTTGGAAGTCGAGATTGCGAAGAAGGATGCGCGCATCAAAGAGTGCTTCACCCAGAGTGTCGCAGCATCATTCCATGTGACCCACGCAAACAAAAATTCTGCGCCAGCTGCACACGCATCTTCGGAGCATATCGTGTTTATTTGTGTTTGCTTCGCAGGTTGGAATATCTTCAGAGACAGACGGCGTGAGACTGCCCAGTAGCAGAAACTTTGCAGGTGGACAGTCTTGTCGCGTCTCTTAAGCTGTGATTCGATGGGGTGCAACTTCGGAAACATGGAGGGCGCCCTGTTGATTAAATGCAACAGGCGTGATGCGTCTTCCGAGAAGAAGTACTGCGTGTAGTGACTCTGATAGACGACTTGGTTCTGTGTCACATCACCGGAAGAGAAGACGAAAAGCACACGCCCGTTGCTGTAAATAGTCCTCTCAAGCTAATGACCTGCTTCGCAGCCTGAAGGGTTGACAAAGCGGCAACGCAGCAGGCATCGCAGTGTGACTGCCCTGGAATCAACATGTGTTCCGCATAGAGTTGCGCATTGACCGAAGTTGCATCGCAGCGCGGTGCATTGCATCGTAGAGTCATATTGCATCTATCATCGCGACCTGCTTGGCAGGTACAGTCCGGGCAATCAGACCAGAACATTTGAGTGCCCAAGCATGATCAAGCATGTTTTCCTGAGGATATCCAGTCATGCCCCATGCCCCTCCAAAGTGGACCAAGTCACGTCAGCCGTCCCAAGGTCTTGGATTATGTGGGTTGACTAGTTACTGATGACCACTAGCTGGGTAATGGCTGCAAGTTACTGCATGGGACAGCAAAAGGTGGTTGGTGGAATCTGCACTTGAAACGTGTCGGAGTGGTAGCGGGTTGTGTCTTTGAGCAGCACCTGTGTTAGTTTAAGGGCATGCCTTCGCTGTGTAGCAAGACTATGACAAGGATTGCGGATAAACTGATCCGAGTCTTGACGCATCATCTGCAGAGCTGGTTCCTCTGTGCAACAAAACTGCATAAGATTTTCGAAGCAGGGGAGCAACAAACCCCAGTACCTGTAGCAGGTGTCTTGGCTTGTGAGCCTCGTGGGAACTCCTGGAGTTGAGACATTGGCAGGCTTTAGGCTTTTGTAGTTCAGCTCCATGATCTGAAAACTGATCTCTTCAAAAGAGTCAGAGGGACATTTTACAAAATTACGCATGCCCAGTGCTACAGCAAGGTACGCCATCTCCCAACGATGCAGGAGATGAAGAGATTCTGCGGAGTTCCGGCTCGGAGGCGAGCGAGCGAACGGATTAAAAGTTGAGAGTGAAAGACAAGCTGAGCCCTTTAAGGTTAGTGCGTTCGTCGAGGATGTGGTCCAAGAGGCGAAGATGTTCTTAAAACGGGCCCTCTTACAGGCTGCTTATTGCTGGTGGTTTGCACTTCGAGTAGTGGCTGGCTGATCTTGCAGTATCACGAACCTGGCTGACTAAGTGTTCGTGGGAACGGTCGGCTTCAGTCCGAGTTCCACGTGTGCAGCCGGTGAGGCCGTGGTTAAGACTGAGCTTGGAAGCAACCAGGTAGAGAGAGATGTTCGACGACCAGACCAGGATTAAATAATTATCTATGATGTGCCTCAACTTGACTGTCCGATTGGGATGTTCGTTCCTGGGCAGGCATCGGAGATCTCCAAGTTGAGCACAGCCGACAGGCAATGGCCTCGTGGGAGTCGTAAGTCCTATCAACATGTGCGCGAAAACGGAAGGTTTCCACAGAAAGGAGCACGTGCGAAGCTGGTGGGCCTTAAAGCCAAGTCCATGAATGGGAAGGCTGGCAGCCGGGAATTTCTTCTGACCAGCCGTTTCAAGGAATGCAACAAGAATACTGCTGTGATCTTCGGTATGTATGCGCCTGCAGTACTTATGCGTCTCTGCTTTCATACAGAGTTTTATGCTACGGTAAGCTATCCTCACGCTGGCATCCCGGAAGGTCGTGAAGATCACCAGCTACGAGAACAGCACGCAGCGGTATATCGTGAAGCTGCCAGACGGCTCCATGCGCAAGGTCGAGGCCAGATTCGAGTCTCATCTTTAACAAGATGGGGCCCGTGGCCCTTGGTGTTTTGCATTTGTATAGCGTTTCATGGCTCACGCTGAAATTTGAAGGCGTCGAAGCTGCAGTCGACGGACGAGGCCAAGACGTCACGGACGCCATGTGATGATAGCTTGGGCATCAGCGTCACGTACTTTCCCGAGGCACCGCGGCCAAGGCTGTCTGTGTGCAATGCCTACAAGCTGCACGAGCCATTGAAGGCCAGATGCATTCTTCTTGTCCCTAGTCACCAATCCTTCCCAGCTCACAGGGAGAGAGTGCTGACAGACAAGGGCCGTGCCCAAGTCCCGATATTTCACGACCCGTCAAGGTCGTCTTGAACAGCGAGACCGGCACATCAAAGGCTTTGGGCCGCATTGCAACTTGGCCTTGCGAATGGTTGTGCACTGTGATTCAGGTTCTGGCCATGTTGGATTTTGCCAGCTGCGAAGATTTCGAGGAGCGGCCATGACTGGGGTCATGATCGGTAGGCATCTCGGGTGGCATGAAACCCCCTGTCTGAGGAGCTGCCCTTCGACAAGGGCAGCATATCTTTGCTGTTGAGCTCGACGCAGGTTCGTGAAGCATACCGCCAACAGTTCACTCTGGCTTCGAACGGTCTTTGCAGCAATTTCACGCGGGGCTGTGTCGGATTGTCAAAAGCACCTGGCGTATCCAGTCAGTATGCTAAATCAGTCAAAACACGAAAACCTACACAAGACCATGATGCAGGTTGCCAACGTGCCATTCGATCTCAGCGTGCTTGGAAGAGGGCGTGGAACAGAGCTGACGGTCACGACCCCAACAGCATGCAGCTATTTCTTGTTGCTCCGGTAATGAGTATAAAGCCGCAAGCTCAAACCTGTCTTCAGGTTGCTCCGTCTCCAGAAAGCACGGCAGGTTCGAAATCCAAGGCGGGGAGTTTTTTGTGCAGCACGTGCACAGCCATCCATTAAGTGCTAGGAACACAGCTGGTTGTCCTTGAAGAGCTTACGACCTTCCAATCATCTGCTAATATCTGCTATCGGCTACCGCTTTTCACGGCCAGGCGAAGGTGCTCCAAAACATCGTCGAGCTGGATGATGGTGCCTCATACACACATGTCTGATCATGTCTGCACACACATCATGCCATGCCATGACATTGTACTTGATTTCCCCCCAGTTTATGCTTTCCGGTTCCCGACGATGCAGTCACTCAAGATTCGCGCATTCAGGAGGCGCCTACTATCTGCATTTGGTCAACGCACACGCGGGATCAAGGCTGGGCTCAGGTTTGGATCACCACCAGCAGCACCTCTTTGAAACTGCATCTGGGAATTATTATTATTATGATTACATTATTATTATTATTATCATTATTCTTATTGTTGTTATCATTATTATTATTATTATTGTTATTATTGCTATTATAGCTTCACGTAACTTGGCTTCGTGGTCTGCCTGCGCCCGAGCTGGTCCTGCGGACTTAATTTGACTTAACTCCCTTACCGGCGACCGCTAGATGTTGACCACTGCTGCTTGTGGTCTTGTATGTCGTAACAAGTGCCAGATTACTTGTCTGCAGGCCAGTGCAACTTTCCGTTCAACGCGGACCTGTCGCAAAGGTTTTGCCCATGGACAAGTCGTGCGACCTCAGTATGGGAACCGGCCTGCATTTTTTCTCGTTGCCGGTGGTTCTTTGCACTCTGCTGACAGCGACCCTTTGGCAAATTGCAGGTATCGTCTCGAGCGTGTCGAAGACATGTCCTTGACGCTCACAGACGGGCAGAGACGCTTGCGGCTCGTCGCTGGCTTAGCACTCGTTTAAGCCGCGGCGGGTTTCGACTTCTTGGTGGAGCATGCATGAAACATGGCCCTAGGCCTTCAACCCGCAGAAGTCACGTACTTACTGCGCGATCGTCACAGGCAGCGTCTCGCCTGACGGCTAGTTCCTCTACTTCTCTTTGTTTCGGCTAGCTGAATCATCACCACTGTACTTGTTCGGAAGCATTAGGAAGCTTAGTGAGGCGATAGTTTGGTATGATCGCCGGGCACATGTGCGATATGTGCACCAAATCGATCCGGCTGCAGTGTTATTCCCCAGACAGCGTTGTAACACTCTAGGGTTCTTACGTTCAGGATTGAGGCGCACGCGGCGTGCGCTGACCCCATGCACCGCGCTTCCGGGGTTATGCTGTGGTGCGGTGCGCATTCTCGACTACACTGGCGCTCTGCCCCGTTCTCACGGACACCGATTTCGTCATCAAACGCAGTAGCTCAATGCTCCACAACTTGAGGCACCGTGCTCCCGCCAGCGGTGCTCGTATTAAGTATTGTAGTGTGCTTCACAGTCCCGTGCTAGTTTTCACCTTCGAAATGAAGTCGCTAAAGTTGCCACGCTATTCGCCTTCTGGCGGATCCTTGGTGTGTTTTCGGAAAGCCACTGTTCTAATGTCATCAATCGCAGTCCTGCGCGCATTTTGCTGCCACAGATCGGTGCATGTTCCGGGGTGGCAGTCGAGCCCCGAACGCACTGTGGCACGCACTTTGGACTGATGAGGAGGTCTTGGCAGCCTCACGGATCCTAGTTTTGGGTATGTGCGGCTTTGACAGCTAGGTGCTTCTTCAATCTTGTTCACTGTTCTGGAATGTTGCAGGTGTGCATGGGTCTGCGCTGGCACAGAGATTTTGATTTCTCATGGTTTCGACAGGATGCAAATTCGGGCTGCCACAGTTCACGGCGTGACGGAACAAGTTCAACCGGTGCACAGGTGGCAACGACGGGGAAAATGACGATGCGCAGAGGGTTGGTTTGGTGACGGCCTCACACAAACACAGACGCAATCGTGAACTTCCGAGTGCATTCCAGACCTGCAAGGTCTTGCACAAGCTGGGTGAGTGGACATCCGCAGAGCAGCTTGACAAGGAAGCTGTGTAACCGCCAGCAGCTAGTATCAGCTTGGCGCATTGCTGACAGGAGCTTGATGAAACATTGCGTGTGTGTGTGGGGCAGCATGGACAGCCTTCCTCTGTGAGCACAAGTATGCTGTCTAGGAACTTTCCGGAAATAGCTGTGCTTCTTGCCGCTGCTGTTACAGGCCTTGAGCTTCCCATGGCACGAAGGAAAAGAGCATAGACTTAGCTGTGCTGAATGGTTGTGAGCTGAGCGTTCGCTGTCTTCATATTTCCACTCTGCCCACAGTGGCAGCGGAGCTGGTGAGTTACCAGCGCAGGCGAGATGGCCCGCGGACCGCCGGGCTCCTTTATGGATGTGTGGCGAGGAAGGGGCTCTCAGCCTGCGACTCCTGGCTTGCCTCCCGGGCCCTTGGCTTATGCCACTCTGGGGCCTCGAGGGCCAGCGGGAGTGAGACCTGAAGCCTACGCGGCACCGCAGAGCCCAATGACGCCTCCGGCAGCTTTCGCTCCACCGTTGCTCTCTACGACAGCTCCTCGACCGAGTTCTTCGAGCCTGGGAGCTGAGATGAGTTCAGCGCAGCCTGCGAGACCTTCTGGGGTTCCCGAAGGGGACATTGGAGTTGGCTTAGCAGCCAGGTTTGCTAATGAGATGGGAAGCGCCTCCTCCGAAGGAGCAGGCGCTCAAGGACCGCAAGTTCAAAGTGCCTTCGAGCTTCTGGGGCGGAAGCCCCCAGCAGCAAATGCCACGTCAAGCATGGACACCTCCGAGGCCATCGTCCGAGCCCTCACCATGGCGGTTTCAGGAGAACGGAAAGCCTTGCCAACTTGGGCAGGGAATGTTTCGACTTTGCGGGCTTGGTTGCGACAGCTTAGCTTCTGGGAACTAGACAACCAGACTCCCAAGCATCGTTGGGGCATCAAGCTGTACCAGGCTTTTGCGGAAGGCAGCGTGCCGCGCCGCATTGCGGAATCTCTGCCCATGGAGAAGATCATGTCCGAGCAGGGATACGGAATGCTGCTTTCAGCTGTCTTGCAGAAGTTTAAGCCCTACCTTGAAGCCGCCGGGCCAGCAGCTGTAGATGCCTTTTTTTACCAAGGTGAAAGGGCTCGAGCCGAGTCCTTTGCGAACTATATTTCGGCAAAGGAGATCTCCCGCCAGGAGGTGGAGAACATGACAGGTGAGAAGATCCCGGACAAGATCGCCGGGCGCATACTCCTCAAGCAGGCCAACCTCTCGGAGTCTCAGCGAGAAGCCATCGCGATAAAGTACAACGCCTTGCTCTCGTTTGAAGAAGTTGCGGTTGCTTTGCGGCCGCTGGACCGTCCAGAGGCGTTGATGAAACCGATGGCAGGGCACACCTCGACCTCTTTGGCCACCTCGACTCCATCGCACATGGACTGGCTCTACGAAGGCGAGGAGGCCACTAAGGACGAGGGATGGGCTGAAGATGACTGGGGCTACGAGCAGGACGAGGAGATGGCCGACGACGCTGCGGAGATCGACCACGAGGCAACAATGTTCTTCGAGCTAGACAGGTAGTACGACGAGGACGAGGCCCTGTACATTTGGGCCTACAATGATGCGTACCAGCAACTGGTGCAAGATGCTCAAGAAGGCCCTTCCTCGACGTCCACGGCCTTTCCTGCGTACCAAGATGTGCGAAAAGAACTTCAAGCACGGCGAAAAGGACGTCAGTTCTTTCGGCCAGACAAAGGCAAGGGCAAGGGCAAGGGACGCGGACGGTTTGGAGGAAAGGGCCGCGGCAAAGGTGGCTCTCGCCCTTCTGGCAAGGGCAAAGGCAAGTCCCGAAGCAAAGGATCTGCAGAGGATCTGATGGCTCGTACCCGCTGCTACTCTTGCGGCGAGCTGGGCCACTTCAGTCGAGACTGCCCAGCGGGCCCCGACGGCAGTCACCAGCCAACGAACTTCGTCGTCAGCCAAGGCCCCTCGCCAGGGGCCATCAACAGGGCCTTCATGACCGCCGGTCGTGGTGTGATCTCGATCTACGCAGGCGTCCGCACCTCGGCGGGCGAAGGCCTTGTGGACACCGCGGCAGAGGATGCCGTGATCGGAAGCCAGGCATTCGATCGGTTGTGTCAGACTCTGGCTTCCTTGGGGTTACGGCCGGTCAAGGTGAATGGGCCAGCTGCATTGGCGGCTCAGCCCAGGTCTCTTCGGTCTGGGATCGGGATCGCGCAAACAAACGGGTTGCTGAGGATGACTGTGGTCTCGGACGCAGATGGTTTCGAGACACCGCTCCTCATTCCGGTCAGCTTTCAGGAGCTGGTCGGCATGGTTATCGACCTGGACAAAGGTGAGGTGCGCACCCGTGCCGGCACTTCCACGGCTATGCATAGGCTGCCCACCGGACATCGCGCAGTTTCTGTTGTTGACTTCAAGGGTCGCTGGGCCCTTCCCCGGCAGCTCATGCGGTCAGGTCGCGACCCTTTTCAGATACCTCGAGGACTGCAGTCGCAGATTAAGCCCGGCCCCATTGGCCGACACCGTGGAGTGACGGTCTGGCTACGACAGTCGACGGGCGAGCTGGCTCATGTGAAAACCTTGGAGGGTGAGCGCCAGAGCATGGTTTTGCCTAGGGAGTGCTTTTCCGAACCCATGGTGCAGTCTTTGGAACCCTCTCGAGTGACTTTTCTTGATACCCAGCCTGGTTGCCACCCGTACGTGATCAACGACTCTTGGAATAACAGCCTGGGCTCCCGAACCCTCGATGAACCTTGGACAGGCACCGTTATTTTTCAGCAACACAGCCCGGCTTCTCAATTGTCTTCCCCGTCTACTGCCTCCACGCCGCCTCTCTCTACTACCCCCTCGCGCCAGGCGACCAGCAGCTCGGCGCTTTCATCGTCAGAGGTGCGCCAGTTCAGCCTGTCCGATGGTGAAACTCCTCAGGAAACGTCAGTGGCGTGGGATTTCGAGGGTGTTTTCTCTTCAGGTTTCGGGGAGGAGAGTGTGAACCAAGCTCTTCACCCTCGAATGCAGCAGTCCATGGATGTCTGGATGCAAGTGCGCAGCAAGGGACGTAAAGTGGTTGAGCAGTTGTCGCGAGCTGCAAGTGCGAACTTCTTCGTGAACGTGGTTCAAAGTCCGATTGCAAGTTCGCAACCCATGCTGGGACAGCTGTTTCGCTACTGCTTTGTGCGCCTTCGCAATGCAACGCAGGATCCAGGAGCTGGTCTACAAGGAGGAGTTCCAAGTGAAAGGCCCGGTGGAGAAACGGAGGAGAGGCCAGGAATGGTGTTGCCGATCGTGGGCCCGCCTTACAGGGTTGCTGGTTCGAATGATCATCACGACCCGGCAACAAATGGTGATCGACGAGGTGACCCGGGCCCCACCGCCTCCGACCAGTTCGGCTTCCTCCTCGACGGCACCAGTGAAGAACAAGGGCCAACGAAATCAACAACCGGTTCGCCAAGGTCTGGGTGCGCCCATGACCCGCAGCCAAGTGAAAAACACGTGGACGGCTCGGCCGGAGTCGTGCCCCTGAGGATGAGAGGAAACCAAGCTCAGTTCTGGTGGGTTTGCCTTCGTTGCGGTTCGCGCTGGGAAAGAACTTTGGTGGAGACGGTGGCCAGCAAGAATCCCCCTCCGGCACCGGCTCGGAGAACCTATGTGATTACCGAGCCCCCGAAGCTTCTTCCTCCTCCACGCTCCAAGCCAAGTCTGGGAACTCTGTCCCGCGAGCAGGCACAGAAGCCTATGAAGGTGACTACAACCAAACCTACCACGACCCCCAAGCAGTGCACGACTGAGGTCGACCTGGCGGAACAACGTGAAGGAGGTGATGCGCGACTACGAGACCGAGGACCACCTGACCAGACCTCAGGACCCGGAGTGTGCCTTCGACCAGCCAATGGAGGAGTTCTACGAGGACGACGAGAGAGCTCCAGGCAATGAGGGAGTTCCCGAGTTCGGTTCTCCCTCAGCAGTGGTGCCCTACCGCAATTCGAGAGTGAGAGACGTGGACAAGGTGGACGTCAGACAGATGACGAGCGGACGGGCACCCACCGAATGGGCCGACTACACGGAAAGGAGTCAAGGACCTATGAAGGAGGAGCCAAGCAGATCTACGTCAGCGACAAGACGCTCGAGGAGCCTGCCGTCCGGAGTGAGTCCAATACAGGAACCTTCTCGACGCAGGCAGGTGGCGATGTCGAGTCAAGGCCCGGAAGTGTATGCCCTCGACGAGGCGAGCGACTCCGACTTCAACAAGGACAAGACCCCGAGCTCCTTTTCCGTGGTGAGTGCGGCGACCCTCCTGGAGCGCGAGAGCGAGCAGTGAAGGGAAACCTTCCGAAGACAACGGCGCTAATGATGCTGGGCTCGGCTCCAGAAACTACGCGGCACTTCTTCGCAAAGCGAGGCTATGCGTCGACTTGCGGTCTAGCAATTCTTCTTTCGGTGGCAGATCAGATGCATCCTTTGGCGGCATCGTCAATTTCGAAGTTGCCATTTTGCCGGCTGGAGGCTGGCCAAGTACAAGGGGATGCAGCAGATCGACCACACAATTTTGTCCTTTTTCAGTTGCCAGAGACTTACGAGTACAATGGCTCTACGTGTAACGACCGTGCGTGCACTTTGCCCCGGTCAGAGAAAGAGTTTGTGGTTGCCAACTTGGAGAATTACCTCAACGCGGAAGATGCGGGGACCACGTCATCTACTCAACCTGAGCTACTACCAGCCTCAACCAAAAGCTACAGCGAGGTTACTCAGGTGACAAGCCAGACAACAGGTCACCCAGCCAAATCAGCATCTACTACCAGTTCTCCACAACCACTCGAAAAGCAACGATCGGGACTTTCCTTAGTGAATCCTTCGATCAATCTTCACAGCACTCAAAGAAGCTCTTCAATGACTACCAGCAAACGAGGTGACCCAGCTAGTGCTCTAGCGACAAAGACCACAGGTCACCAGACCAAATCAGCCTCTACTACCACTCCACAACCAGTCGAAAAGCAACGATCGGGACCGTGGCGTGTTAAATCGATAGCCTTGGAGTCACCAGACGCTGGGTCAAGGACGCTAGTCGATGGTGGCATGCAGTACACTGGTGAGGTGGGCATGAGAGCGCTGAGTTTCATGATCGCATGGCATTTTCAGAATGTACACAACGGCAGAGATGCGTTGAAGCTGGTGACAGAGTCCCGACCAGCCTTCGTGGCAGTTCCAGTCAACGGCGCAAGTTTTTCCGCGGCAGTTGGCATGGCCAAGGTCCAAGATGTGAGTGGCCGAGTTTTCGCTCTCAGTTGTCCTGGTCGGTTTAAGCGAGGCCTCTTACGTCAATTACCACAAGCGACAGCAGTGCCGGTGCGGTTCAAGGATCCCGGCAAGGTGTGTTGGGTGGTCGTCAACGACAAAACTCTGGTGCGTCTCCTATCGAACGTCGGCTGGGCAAAGCTTGCGTGGCCGGAGACGGACGATGAGAGCCTTGATCGCACCGTTTTGGAGTACTTGCACGGCCTCTGCTACCCTCTCTCCTTCCAGGCCGAGTCCCCCTTTGGCAATCAGCCACTTTTGGCTGCGGCTGCTCAGCGTGCTCTCCCTGCTTTCGAGAGTCTTCTAACGGCGGTCCGCACCAATACGGCCTTCGTCACATCGTCGGCGCCTTCTTTTGGGGGAGGCAGGGCGGTGGCATCGTCTACTTCACAAAGTTTTGCACTTGTTCAAGAAGAAGAACCGAATCAAGAAGCAGAGCTGTTGGAAGAAGATGCCCGAATCGGACCACGGCCCGGAGACCCCGACGGTGACGAAGCTGTTCAAGAAGTTCGGCGAGGATTAAGGCCAGTTACCGAAGGAGACCAGGTGAAGCAAGCACTTAAATCCTGGGATGACTTTCGGAAACATGAGGAGAAGGGGAAGTTTTCGCTACACCCTCACTTGAGGCGAGAGATCTTCAAGGTCCATCGAAACCTCAATCACCCGGCCAAGGACGTCTTCCTCAGAGCACTACGACATGCTGGAGTTCGGCAAGACATTCTCGAATGGATCAAGGAGTTCTTCGCGTGCCCACTGTGTGAGGCATCGAGAAAGACACTACCTGCACGTCCGGCACACTTGGCAAAGACCCTCCAGTTCAATGCCATCATTGCCATGGATCTGTTCTACCTCAACTTGTTCGGAGAAGAAAAGGTGTTCCTGATCTGTGTGGATCATGGCTCGGGAATGATTCAGGCAGCAAGATGTGCCAACGCAAAATCGGCAACCGTGCGGGACGTCTTCGCCTCTCCCGAACTAGTGGTCTCAGACTTGGGCCCGGAGTTCTATGGCGAGCCCTTCCAGGAGTACCTCGCCTCGGCAGGAACGGCCATGCACTTTACGGACGCAATGAGTCCTTGGAAGAATGGCCGAGCGGAGAGAGCGGTACAGACAGTGAAGGCCAAGCTCAAAACTACGATTGCCGAGACTTCAGCGACCGCGGACGAGCTGGACCTTTGCTTAGCCCAGGTCATCGCCTCCTTTAACCAGATGTTCGATCGGTTCGGGTTCTCCCCGAACCAAAGGGTCTTTGGTCGATCAATTCGGCTACCGGGCTCCTTGTTGGCCGACGACCACCTGGACCCCGACCTGGTGATGGAAGCTGCAGGTGCAGAGATGAAGCGCACCTGGGATATTCGAGAGGCCGCTCAAGCAGCGTGGCTTAAGCGGTCAGATGAGGTGGCTGTTCAGCGAGCTAAGAAAGTAATGACTCGGCTATCGGATGAGAAGTCCGCTGCACTACGGCCAGGACAGTGGGTCTACGTGTGGCGAAGGACCGAGAACAAGTTCGGTTGGGTTGGCCCAGGCGCCCTGGTCGCTCCGTGCCCGGGGAATGGTTCCTGGTGGGTCAACATGAGAGGCAGGCTATGGAAAGTCAACTCAGAGCAGCTTAGGCCTGCTTCTTCAGAAGAGACCCTCGGAGCCAGCTTGGCCAAGGAGCTTCACCGGGATCTGGTCAAGCAGATCCGCGAGGGAAACCAACCGGGCTACCAGGACTTCACAGCAGACGGCGGTCCGGACGACTTCGATGACTACGAGCCGAGTGAACCAGAACTACCACGAGGAGGCGAACCAGAACAACCACAAGGAGTCGGACCAGAACAGCTTCACGGAGAGGATGGTACTGAGTCCATGGATGTGTCCACTGCCCTTGGCGAGGACTTCAGCGAGGCTCCCATTGCCTCAACGCAGGATCCCAGTCGCCGACAAAGTGTGCAATCAGCGGCTCCTTCAACTTTGGAAGCCCCCACGATGAACTCCCCTCGGATCATTCGAGTCGATGAGGGCAGCTCTGGGACAATGCACTTCGGTCCTATCCGAGATACCAGCAACACGGCGACCAGCAATCCCTACCTGGCCACCGCGGAGGAGGAGGTTCCCCCGTCTGAGCACATGGACGTCATGGACCTCGACGCCGAGGCCGGAGGGTTGCAGTGGAACTACTGGTCAACGGCCGGACCGAGATGGATACGACAGGCCACGAGTGGCCGGACCTTTCTCCAGGCTTCCAAGCCCCATGTAAAGTTCCAGGCGCTGGATGGAGAGGCGAGTTATTGCGGACGGGACCGTTGCATGTACGTCGCCAAAGCAAAGACGTCGTTCGGCCAAGTGGATTTCCGGTCCCTCGAGGAGAAGGAGAAGGCTGTGTTCCGAGCCAGCAGGGCCAAGGAGTTCCAGTCCCTCCTCGACAACAAGGCAGTAAGAGTGCTTTCGGTGGCAGAGTCGGAGAAGTTTAGGAGGGAGCATCCAGAACACATTCTGGAATCCAGATTCGTTGATCGGTATAAGCCCTTGGATGTGAACCAGAAAGACATCGACAAAGTGAAGAGGGCGGCGATCGAATCTGGACAACTAGCTCCTCTCGAACTTTCTGCGGACTTGTCGAGTCCGAAAAGTAGGTGGTGCGTCATAGGATGGAGGGATCCTCAGATACACCAGGTGGAGCGTAGTGCTCCGACTCCGTCAAGCAATGCGATCTACACCGTCTTACAACTCGCGTCATCCCGCAGATGGACAACATTTGTCCGAGACGTGAAAACTGCGTTTCTGCAGAGCCGGCCCACTGACCGTAAGAACCCCCTGGCATGCTCCCAACCACGTGACGAACCACTTCCAAATCTGGACCCGAGGCAATTGCTAGTACTGCTGACGGAAATCTACGGCCTGGTGAGCGGCCCCTCCTGGTGGCGCTCCACCTTTCTTCTGCGGACTACCAGGCTCGGCTACAAGGTTTGCCCCTTTGAACCGTGTGTGCTCACATTACCGGGGACCGAGCCAGCCTCAGCTACGCGAGGAGCCTTGGTGATAGAAGTGGACGACGTGGTTGAGTGTGGCGATGACCGTCATCGCGAATGCGTGTCCGAGCTGGAGAAGACGATCAAGTTCGGCAAGTCCATCAACGTGCAGGAGACAGAGACGATGTACGCGGGCCGGAGTCTGAAACAGTTGCCCGACTACTCCTTTGAGTTGCACATGGAGCAGTACGTGTACACCAGGCTGTCCCCGATCGTGCTCTCTCGCAAGGTGCTTAAGAAGGACGCGGCGTCGGTGGTGCTCAACGAGTCTGAGCAGACGCAGCTGAGGGGCGCCATCGCGGCGCTCTCCTGGGTGTCACGGGAGTGTCGACCGGATGCAGCAGCTGCATCCAGTGCGCTGGCCTCTTCTTTCCCGGACCCAACGGTGGAGACGCTGTATCAGGCCAATGACGTTATCCGACACCTCAAGCAGCACCCGGTGAAACTACGCATCCACGCCATTCCCGAGGCAGACGTCCGCAACATCCTCATCGCGGACTCGGCGTTTGACACGAGTGGCAAGGAAAGGTCCCAGCACGGCTTCCTTCTCGGCTTCACGGACAAGACGCTAAACGTGGGACATAGCGCTCCAGTGAGCCTCATTATGTGGCGGTCAAAGAGGTTGAGAAGGAAAGCCTCATCCTCCATGCTATGCGAGGCTCTGTCGATGTCTTCGGCAACCGCGGCTCTGGAGAAGCAAGATGCCTTGTGGGCCTCCCTTCGCGTTTCCAACTTCGACCTTCGAGAACGGCAACGCACCGACGAGGAGATCCTCGAGCTCCAAGGCAAGGCCACGGTCATCGCAGCCGAATCACCTTCGTACACCGACCCTCGCAGCATCGTGGTCATTGACGCGAAGTCTCTTTACGATCACCTTCTAGGCGATCAACCAGGTGAGTGCGGCCGCTGTAACCTCGAGGTGGCGGTGATCAAAGAGAGCATGACGTTGTGCTGTGGTCGAGTGCGTTGGGTTCCTCACAATTTGAACCCAAGTGATGCACTTACAAAGTTTCCAGGTGCACACGTAGAGGCGATGATTCGTTTGCTCCGGACTCATCGCTTTCGAATCAGCGATGAAGCGGAGACGCTTGCTCAAGGCAAGCAGAGCGCACAGCGCTTGAAGCAGGGTTTAGGCACTGACTTTTCCGGAAACCTTAATCTTTTCGGGGGCTGTGAGCACAAGTATGCTGTCTAGGAACTTTCCGGAAATAGCTGTGCTTCTTGCCGCTGCTGTTACAGGCCTTGAGCTTCCCATGGCACGAAGGAAAAGAGCATAGACTTAGCTGTGCTGAATGGTTGTGAGCTGAGCGTTCGCTGTCTTCATATTTCCACTCTGCCCACACCTCAATCGGTTTCCGCCCGAACAATACCATCCAACAACCCGGTGAGCAGAAACCCCCAGAAGAACTCCAGAACACTCGTTTCGTGGTCTCCGTTATTCCCTGTTGAGCTAGGACCGGAAATAATCAGTTTGCCAGGTGCTAGATATGCGCCAGATGTCGTGATATTGATTTCTTGCACTCCCGTGTTGGAAGAGTAATGAAGCATCATTCTTGTTGTTATCATCCTTGATTCGTTGTCGAATCGTTCTCCCTACTTTATTCAGATCGGAAACAAGAAGAAGAGAAAAAAATCCAAGAAGACCATGAAGTATTTATACTAATGACAAAACATCTGATGTTCGGGTTTTTTAAAATATTTATTCTAGGATATATACATATATATATATATAATATAAAGAGATGAGTTCTAAGGGGGAAACATAAACTCTTAATCTCCGTTGTTTTGGGGGGAGGGGGTCGTACCACCAAATTCTTGCGCAATTCAGTTTTTCGTACTGCGAAATATTCGGTCGATTGTATTCTATATTCCAGTTTGATTTCATTACGCCGCTCAATCAAGTATTAGATATCATCGACATTCAATGTTATAGTGAATAGTTAGCGTGTTTCTACACACTACGCATGTCGTGTGTCGTGTACTCTAGCATGATGGTAAAGCTCTTTGAGGACTTACCGTATGTGTCGCACGATCGCATGAACCGAGTAAATATCGTAGTTACAGACCGGAACGTGGAAATCTAAGTTGCCGTTGAGGGCGTGCGTGCCGCGGGGAGTGTCGCGGAGTGGTGGGCGAGGGTGTGAGTGTCGCGGAGTGGCCGGTGGGCGTGGGCGTGGAGTGGCGGGCGAGAGCGGGTCGGAGGGAGTGTCGTGGAGTGGGGCGATGGCATGTTGGGTCGTGCGGAGTGTTGTGCGAATTTGAGGGGAGTGTCGCGGAGTGGCTGGGGAGGTGCGAGTTGTGAAGAGTGTCGCGGAGTGATGGGCGAGAGATTGCGTGTCGTGGGTAGATTGGTGAGCGTGTCGCGGGTGAGTCGTGGTGAGTATCACGGAGTGATGGGCGAGGGCTTGCGTCGGGGGCGGGGGGTTTGCGTGTCGTAAGCGTGGCGGGCGAGAACTGGTCGGAGGGAGTGTCGCAGAGTGCGGTGAGGGCATATGTGACGTGGGGAGTTTGCCTATAGTGGGTCATGGCAATGTCTCGGCGATTAGCCAGCCCAAAATCTCTGCATGTTGCTAGAGCTAGAGTCGAGCCACATAGCTTATGACTCGCATTTAACTTGCCCTTCGATTGTGAAAATATAGGGACAGATAGTACCCAACTAGTTTAATCAGACCTCTGCAGTCGTAGGCACTATATGTAATCGGGGATATGCATAGATTTATACTTAGGACTTGTTTTTGAACCTGAGACCGAATCGGAGCAGATGCCTGAGAGTCGCCTTATCGCCTTACTAGCAGTAGTTGGCCGTTGTTCGTTCGCGTCGCACCGGCATGCCGACTTTGTTTCAAGAAGCGGTCAACCTGCAGCAGCCTCAGTATCGGGCGTCAGGAGATGTCAGGCAGCTCATGTCGTGGAAAAGCAATGATGATTTAAGAAGTCGTGTAGTGCCAGGAGAATTTAAACTTGGCACGGGCATGGCTGCACCTGCATCCTTTGATCATCCGCCGCCTTGCTACAGAGGCCCTCTGGCGCGTTGAGGATCAGCC